ATCTGAGGGCGTGTTCGGCTACATGCAGGAAAGATGGTGCTCTCAGCGATGTTGGCAAGACCGCGAAGAAGGCGCTCTACGCCATCTTTGGATTAGCAGAGGCACGGTCTGCCTTTGATACTGTAGACAGTCAACTGAAAGACTGCGACGCTGTTTTCACTGGCATAATTCCCCTAATTGAGCCCTTTTGCCAGGCCGCTGCTAAAAACATTTATAACCTGTTGCAATGCACCGGGCTTTTGGGCGTAACGCTCATTGTCGCCTTGTACACATATGGAATGGGGGCCAAGCGCTTTATTCCGTTTGAAGAAGCGCTATTACCACAAAAAGACTAATGGCACATAATGTATTGAGATCCCGGTTTTGTCCATTGGCCAGGTTATAGGGAGAGAACAACCCGATCACAACGAAAAGAAGAGGGCAACCCGTGAGAGGGGGCTACCGGGGCGGGAAGACGCTTCCGTGCAAACATTTGGCTTCAGATTGCGCGTGTGTATGTGTGGGGGTAACTCGAAGGGAATTACTGAGAGTCGAAACCAAAGTTCCGCTGGTTGCTTCTCTTGACAAGGCCCATACGAACGTGTCTGCAGGGACGGATTTATTTACATAGAGACCGGCTGTTCAATCAAGGGAGGGGGAGAGTGAGGAATATGTCTTATTTGTTGTCCTCTTACGGTCTCCTCATGAGGTGTTTGATAACCCCTAACATCGTCCTTTGTAATCGATTTCCCGATTTTAAAATGTCAGACAAGAATGAAATGTAAAAAAAAAAAAAAAAAGTAATATTAGTTTGCATTGCATCGAAGACGCGTTTTATTTATTTATTTATTTTATTTTATTTTTCTATCTTTTATTTTTTTTTAGATGCGTGTATGCATCTCATCTCATTGTAGAAATGCGCTATTATTTATTTCTTACGTGATTTTATGTGTATATACATATATACATATATATATATAGTTTTTGTTGTTATTATTTTGGAGTGGCGGAGAGGGTTTCTTCATAGCTCTTGTGGGCTTGTGCAGAGAGAGAAAATGATACATATTGCGTGTTTACATGTTTTTTGGCGTCAATTACCCCATTTATTTGTTTTCACTGACATTCTCATGTGATGAGTGGTGGTTATCACACACACACACACAGAGAGAGAGGGAGAGAGAGACAGAAACGGACAGAAGAAAAAAACAACAACAACAACCAAACAGACAAGGGGCGTGCCTAGCGAGAAGGAAATTAGATTTATGTGATGACCTCAGTTTCTGAGCGACTGGTGCTGCAGCTAGTGAAGTTACACCAGCGTGAGGAGGAGATTGAGCGGGAGAGGGCTCTTTTGCGTGAGAGGGAGGACCTGAAGGCGTCCTTGGGGAAACGGCTGGCGCAGGTGCAGGGTCAACTTCAGAAGGTGGAGTCTGTACGCGCAACCCTCGAAGAACTTAATAGGGCCGAAGAGGAAAAGTATCATGAGGCACGGAAGGAGGATGAGGTGGAGAGGGAGAGGCTTTCGGAAAGTCTCCGTGACGCCATTGACACCGTGAATGCGTACTCGGAAGAAGTTATGAAGATGGAGGCGAAGGCGAATCATGAGAACAAATCCCTCAAGGAACAACTGGAAATTTATGCCAAGCACCTCTCCAGTGGAGAGGACAAATATGACGAGATAATGAAGGCCCGCGAGGCGGAGTACGCAAAGATTGAGTCCAAGCGCGATACGGAGGCGGCACGTAAGCCGCAGCTGGAAAAGGAATTGGAGGATGAAACAAGGGAGCTTGAAGCAGCCCATAAGGAGCATGCAGGGCTGCAGGAGAAGGTGAATGGGTGTCTCACGTACCTCTCAGATTTTCAAGAGCGCCTGCTAAAGGCGAGGGAAACGTTTGAAAGTGCGAAGAACGAGAAGGAACGACAGATGCGGAAAATTCGCTCTTTGGAGAGTGATAGGCAGCTGATGATCTCAAGGGCTGAGAAGAGCAAAGGCGAGCGTGATAAGGAGCATGCAAAGGTGATGCTTCTTGAGGAAAAGATAAACGCACTGAAAAAGCAGACAGAAAAAATATGGGCGGTGGTGGCAATGCTGGACGGCGGGGACGCAGACAACGAAACACGGAACGAAAAAAAATAGAACTGTTGAGTTCCGTTCGTGAAATTGTTGATGTCCACCGCTATTCGCTCCCACGTCCTTAAATGACTGTTAGAATGTCTGTGTGCTTTTGTGTTTGTATTGTGGGAGATCGCGTCGAAATTTTTGCCGACAGCACGTCGCAATTTCCCCGATTGGAATATTTATACCAAACCATTTTGTTGTTGTTGTTTCCGTGTGCTTTTCTTTTTTTTTTTTTTTTTTGGTTTTGTGTTGTTGTGCATTCTCTACTTGCAGTCTGTCTTTTCGTCTTTCTTTCTTTCTTTGCGTGCGTGCATTTGTGTTTGTCTTGGCGAAGTCGGGTATTTTTGCTCCTTTTGTCGCCTCGATCAAATTTTTAAGCGTGGGCCTCTGGAAGCCGTAGAAAAAGAAAAAGAAAAAAACAGAAGAAAAGAAAAAAAAAAAAAAAAAAAAAAGATGCTTCGCGTCTCCCTGCTTTGGCGGGGCGTGAGCCCCTTCACGCTGTTTCTGATGGACCAGAAGAACAATCCGGCGCTGAAGGGGTGCGCCATCTCGAAGCGAGGCCGCATCCTCTCCAAAATGTACAAGGAGCTCTCGCAGAACCAGCGGCGGGAGTTGAAGCAGCGAGCGGCACGCCATCCGACTCTTCCAAAGCAGACAAGAAAACAGCGGGAGGAGGCCGCGAGCCTGGCGAGGAGCAGACGCAAAGGGAAGTTTGCCAAATTTGTGCGGGAAAACTACCACAAGGTGAAGAAGCTGAACTACCGCAAGCGCTTCGGAGCCCTTTCGCAGCTCTACGATGTGTCCAAGCCGCTAGATGTTGAGAAGGAGATTTCGAAGGCCCTTCCCAAATCGAAGTCCAAAGCGCAAACCAAGAAGAAAGTGAAGGCAACCGTGAAGTCAATGGCGGCCGAAGAAAAGAAAACAACTTCGGCCTCTAAGCGGGCGAAGCCAACGAGTGGTCGAAAGAAGATCAAGAGTGTCGCCAAGAAGATCACACGTAACAAGGTGTGAGGGACGAGAAAGGGAGGGGGACTCGGACATTTGGGCATCTGAGACTCCTTTCCTCCACCGCACTTCTTTTTCTTTTGGTTCGCCGGTGGTAGCTTCTTTTTTTTTTTTTTCTTCTTCTTCTTCTTCTTCCTTTCCTTTTCTTCTGGGAGCATGTATGTGGGTTCGTACCGTTTATATTCAGCGAGGAACGAGATGCAATGGCGTTGGCGCAACTGAATTCATGGCACTGGCAAAATTGGAGACTACTGTTATTATTATTCTGCAGGGTGTGCAGTGAGAGAACTGCAGAGATTGCCTGCGGTGCCTTTTTTTTTTTTTCTTTTTTACTGTTTGTGTCGTTTTCCCTCGTCTCTTCCCTTGACTGCCTGTGCTGCGTGACAAGGAGAAGGACGGAAACCACCAAACAAACAAACAACCAACCGAAGAAAGAAGAAGAACAACAACAACAAAAAAAAAAAAAAAAAAAAAAACAACCACGAGGACGAGCCACTGAAGGGAAGAGAGAAGAGGAAGAACAATAGAGGCCCAACTTTTTCACTTGGATGAGATATACACATTATATACACATCATCATATGATATCACCTACTTTTATATTTATGTCTATATCTATGATATATATATATACATGCTGTGTATTGGATCATTCTCAGCATAGATGAGCACACGTACACTATACATATATATGTAGGGTGAAACGTGGAAAAAAAATTATATATAAAAAAAAAAAAGAGAGAGAAGGGGAGAGGGAGAGAGAGAAATACTAGAAAGTGAGCAGCAGCAGCAGCAGCAAAGAAACAAAGAAGCAAAAAAAAAAAAAAAAAAAGTGGAGACTCTGGAGGTTGTGGACATGCGATATCTAGAAATTTATGGGCCGTCATAAAGCAGAAAAGAGCTTTTGGAAAGGGAGGGAAGGAAAAGCGGAAATATAGAGAACTTTTCTTGTTTCTTCTCCTCTTCTTCTTTTCTCTCATCGACCTCTTTTTAAAATTTTGTTATTATTTGCTGTTTCTTTTTTTTTTTTTTTTTTTTTTTTTTCATATATTTGTTTGCGGGGCAGTAGGGGTCCTTTTATCATCTTCTATCTTTTTATTTTCCCTTATTTTTATTATTTTTATTTTTTCTCTTGATGGATGACTTCATCTTTTTACAGTCATGCGCATTGCGGTATCTATACATATATGTCTGTGTGTCTCTGTGGTTGTGTTTGGAGGTGGGGGTGTGGCTGCCTGCATGCTTGTGCGTTTGTGGGAATGCAGAGAGGAGGATTGCTTCTCCGCAGAGGCGGGAGGGGAGGACGTCTTTGTCCGGAACATGGAAGAGGAGCAGGCGGCATTTCTTTTTTTTTTTTTTTTTTTTTTTTTTTTTTTTCTCTCTTCTTTCATCTTCCTCTTCTGTTGATACGGACGGACACGCACACTTCTTTTCACCGAGAAAGGCAACCGGAAAAAAGAAAAAAAAAAAGATTCTTAACAAAAAAAAAAAAAAAAAAAAGGGAAAGTACGGGATAGAGGCAGAAATGGAGATTAAAAAGAAAAAAGAAAAAAAATGAGGCAGCGAAGGAAAGAAAGGGAGAAGATGTATGAGAATAGAGGGACGAAGGAGACGGCGCATGTGCACGTGACGTCTCTTTTTTTTTTTCTTATTTGTGTTTTTGCGTGCGTGCGTGCGTGCGTGGCTCAGCACGTTCTGTTGTTGCTTTGCTTGGATTGTTGGTATCGCTGGTTTTTTTTTTTTAATCAGTTGATCTTTCTCTTGTTTTTCATGAAGGCATACGTCATGTTCTCTTGCTTCTCTTTCTCTTGTGCACACACAAATACATACACATAGACACCTGTCATTTCAAGAGGATAAAGGCACAGCTGTTTGTAGGTGAGGGAAAAAATTAGCCGATGAGACAGTCAGGAATCAGCTATAAGGTCCAACATCTCCTTGATTCCCTTGTACACGACAAGAAATGTGCCGACAGCGTGCCAAGCGCCTCGGATTCATTGGCAGCGTCTCAAACGAAATATGTTGTGAGGCGGCTGAATGAAGGGATTTCAAAGGAGATATTAACATTATATCTTCTTGGTATAGAAGGCGCAGTAGTACCGTTGCCATTGGTCCCGCAGAATTACCAATGTCAGGCGGGTAAAATTAGGAACTTTGTGGACTGGTGTTTTCCGGAGAGTGCGAGACTGTGCGGAGTTATTAAAAGGACGGCCGAAAATCTCCCCGCTCTTCGAGAGGCATTGGATGCGCCCACAATTGATAGAGATCGTGTATGCACCCTCTTTACCGATCATATTTGCGAAATTGAAGCCACCAAGGGTGTTCGGCCCCTTTACTATACGGAATTGATGGATTTGATTATGGAGAAGGTTTTTGAACGTGGTATTTTGCATTCTTATATCTTCCAAGACGCTGCGATGGCCATAAAAGAGTGGGGAGCGCAAGGGCAGACACGAACACGTGTTGCCATCTGGAGCATTTGCCCCGTTGCGGTCACAAAGGCGCTTCTTCGTCACAGCGATTACGGTGATCTCACGCATTATGTTTTGGACTACTTTGATCCCAGTGTTGCTGGCTCAGCGCTCGAATTGTCCACTTACATGTCTATAAGGAGGCAACTTGAAAGGCGCTTTGCTCCCTTCGCGAGCGATATTAATATTGTATTCATCACCAGTAGTTCAAATGGAGCAGTAGCAGCGAATGCATCGAATGCAATAGATGCTACATTTTTATCCATGCGCCCTTTTAACAATCCAGTGACTTTGGGTACTTTACATGGGATTGATATTGCGACCGTGTCTTCCTTTTACCAACTTCGTGGGGAAAGTGTTTCGTACCCGCTGCTTTGTGCTGAAGCGAGAGAGTACATGGATGGTAGGGCGCACGTGAAAGCCATCCAAGAGGAGGAACAGCTAAGCTCAGAACAGGAAAAACGCAAAACATGAGGCCCATAATATCCCAAAAAAAAGGGAAAAAAAAAAAAAAAAAAATAGAGAGAGAGAAAAGAAAAAAAAAAGGAAAGAAAAAACGAAGAAATTTAAGCATGATGTTGTTTGCTCCTTCTCACTTCTGTTGTGCACAATTTTCTTTTTTGTTTTCGTTTTTGTTGTTTTTTTTTTTTTGCGCTAAACCTGACGGATAAGCCTTTATCTTCTGTAATTGAATTTATGTTTACGTGCGTGTGTGCAGGTCATTAAATGTGTGGGCCGCATGCGGTTGTTAAAGCCGTTTTTTTTTTTTTTTTTTTTTTTTTATGATTTTCCCGTGCCACTGTTCCAGCCGCCTCCACAGGTGCGCTAGAGTCTGCAAATTCCTTTTGACGCGTCGCCTTTTCAGGTTGATGTGACATTTACCTTTGAGACCAAATTTTTTAAACACCTCCACACATCCTTCTGCTTATTAAGAAGAAAAAGCGACAAAACAATTATTTGTGTTTATTTTATTTTATTTTTTATTTTTATTTTTTTACTGTAGTATGCGATTTGAATTCTTTCTTCCTTTGATTTTTCTTTTTTTAATGTTTTGGTTTACCATTGTGGTGTATATGGTTCTTTCGGCAAATATGGTTTTGTTATGCTTTTTTTCTTTTTCTTCTTTTTTCTCTCTGTGTGTGTGTGAGTGTGTGTGTGTGTGTGTGCGTGTGATTATTGCTTCCATCCTGTGTGTCACATTATCGACCCACTTGCCTTCTCTCTCTCACACACTTTGTGTGTGTGCCATACTAATTGGTGTTTCCTTTTTTTTTTTTTTTTTGCTTTTCCTTTTCTGCAGAAGCACGGCAGAAAAGGGGGAAGGAAAGGGAAAGGAAGAATTGGGGAACCAACAGAAAATACCGCTTACACATATAGAAGTGGAAGAGGGAAGAAGGAAAATACATATAGAGAGCGTGCGTTTGCGTTTGTGTTTGTACGTGTGGGAAAGTGGTGTGGGATTAACGTTGAAATTTTTATTGAGTAGTAGCAGAAGGGCTTGAGGCTTCATGGGTGGTGGTATTGGCAGTAGTGGTGGAGGCGGCAGCGCTGGTAGTGGCAGTGGTGTCGTTGGGGGTCCTCCCCACCCACGCCGGATCAGCCTGAATCCGATAGTGCATGAGCATATTCCGCCAGACTACTTGTCAAACTTAAAAAAATACAAATATAGTGGCTCAGACTCCAGCATCATTGCGCGGTACGTTATGCAGCCATACTGGAATTTTATTGTGAGTCTTGTACCAATGACTGTGGCACCCAATGCAATCACACTGACGGGGTTTCTTATTGGTCTATCCTCTTCCATTTTGGTTA